AGGTTTTATAGTGGAAAAATAAATAATGGGGAAGTTGGTGGTCGTCGAATTTTGTGGTAGTTTAGGGAAACAATCAAACTACTGATTTTTTAAGATTTTAGAAAAGATGGGGAAAAGGTTTAGTAGAGAAGAGTTTGATCAGGCGACCAAGTTAGTCAATTTGAGTTTGGGTAAGAGTGATGACTGTGTAGGGTTAAGTTAATGGAATTATGGTTTAGTTTTAGAGATGATCTAGATTGGAAAGGAATTCAGATCAGTGATGGATTCAAAAATTTAAAAATTGGGTCCAAAATAAATATTATAATATTCATTAAGAAAAGGGTTAATTCAAAATAACAAACCATTCAAAAAACATAAAAAATTACTAATAGTAAAAATAATTATAATTGTTCTCGACGACATTTCATTCTTTGAAATCGTTTCATGATTTTTTCATTGTCAATCTGGAAAAAAATATCTCTTTCAATATAAGTGATCAACCAATCATTTAAAAATTGATCACCTATACTATTACACAACTTATTCTTCACGATGATTATTTAAAAAAATGTTTTTTCCATGCTTGTGGTTGCTACAGGGAGAATCAACACCAACTTTATGAGCAAATAGACTTGTTGGTACACTTGATGCTTCTTTGTCTCGACTACCTTCATGGAAAGTTCACCCATATCGTTCAATATCCAAAATCTATCATCCCTCTGCATATCAACAATATAATTATCAAGTTGATTATCAAGACCTAGTCTATTAACACTTGTAAATTCATCGGGATGTAATTCAACAAGTCTAAGTATCTTTTGTTTGTAAAAATAAGAAAACTTATCAAGTGGACTAAAAGAAACCATACAAGTCAATAACTCTATACTAACCTCATTAAATTTGTTGTTTAACTCTTGAAGTTGAAGATCAATATCTCCTAAGAAAACTTCAATTTGAAAATGATGAATATTGGTGGTATCCAGACGACAATATTTTTCCTTCTTGAAGAAGTATACACAACATTCATATCAAGAATAACAATGTCATTCTTGTTACAAAATGAAGTGACTGTAGCAAAAAAAAAACACTCCCACATGTTTTCTCTCATATTTTACAATCTTTCTTTAGTTAAAGTGACAAGAGACATATCATTGACAATATCTCGATGTTTTTTCTATAAAGATTTGTTTAATTCATTCATAATCTCAAATATTATCTTCATCAACTGAATCATGAAAATGAAATCAAATGACTCTATTGCAAAACTCGCATGATCAACTTTTTGAGCATCATCATCATTTTAATCATCATTACCAATCAAATCAAGCACCTTGCTCATTGTAGAATACAAATCAATCACATTCAAAATTAACTTATAATGAGACCCCCAACGTGTATCACTTGGCCTACCTAAATCAAACTCTTGGTTTAAACCTTTTCCGGTCACAATTTCTTAATTTTGCAACTTTTCAGTTTGTTTTCCTTTATGTAAATCTTTTCGCTTGCAAGACAATCCAACAACATTAAACAAATATCCAAGTATATCAAAAATCCAACCACAGTCTTTATTTTTTTATAAATAGCAACTAGAGTTAATTAAAGTTGGTGAGAAAAACAATGTATGTAGTATACATATTGTGTCTCATGATTAAAGTTTTGAGACCATTAAGTTCACCCTTCATATTACTAGCCACATCATACCTTTGCCCACGAACTCTTGAAAAACTCAAAGAATGATCATCAACCAAAGAAAAGATAGCTTCCTTAAGAGACAAAGTTGTATTACTTAAGAGATAAAGTTGTAGTATCTCTACCATGAACAATTCCAAGAAACTGTTCCTTTATCATTCCCTTTTTATCAACATAACGCACACACAAAACATTTGTTCTTTTTGAGACACATCACTAGACTCATCTACTAGTATTTCAAGATAATCCTTACCAACATCTTCCATAATTTCCCTGATAGTTTTTTTGTACAATAATTGATAGTTCTTTTTGAATTGAAGGTGGAATCATTTGATTATTTTTAAGGGCATTTTTCAACACAACATTTCCTACATCATTATTCTTTTCTGCAATCCAATTCAAAAGTTCAAGAAAGTTTCCCTTGTTATTTGATTCATCACATTCATCATGACCATGAAATGTCAATCCTAGAAGAAAAGAAAATCTCAGACAATGAAGAGAAGTAGTCAAACCGATTCACTAGTCACTTTTAGCTTGCTCAGTTTGATGGTTTAAAGAAGCTTCGAATGATGACTTAAAGTTCTTTAAATTCTCAAACTTTTGAAAAACTTTATTATGAGCACTATTAATTCCACAAACATGTTTTCTAAACTTAACTTACCTATTCCAACCTCTAAACCCATTAACAAAAAATGCATCCCTTCCTACAACTTTAGTAGTTTTATTCTTAAACAAGTAACAAACAAAGCAAAAATGCAACATCTTTTGAAACACTATACTCAAACTAAAAATACTTCTTAAACCAATATTTATTAAAGTGACGTAATATATTCGTTTGAGAAAATTTGTGCTTCTTTGTTTGGCAAGCACCTCTTTGTATGTACTTTTTCCTGGCAGCTTCTCGATCCATTGAATGATAGTCAACAATTATTTTTACTTTTAGCTAGATTGTGTGGAATAGAACTAGCATCAACTTGGCTCTCCATCTCCCTTGATGAAAATATTGTATTATCATCATGTGTAATAAATGCGATCCCATTCTAGTTTCTTGAGTTTGTGGCATATTATGAGAAGGGAAAAAAAATTCTTGCTCGAATTAAGTTGTTGAAGGTTGAGTTGATGATGAGACACAAATTGGCACTTGGGAAGAACTTGCATCATTCTTTTTAGATTTTTGAACAAACCAATCCAAAGGTTCATTCTTCTTTCGTGGAGGGTTAATTTTATCACCATTCATCTTCTCGCCATTCATCTTCCACAATTGTTTATGAAAAAGTAAACTAGATGAGGAGAGAAATGGGGAAGCAAAGGGAAAACAATGGGTATTGAATAAATGAATGGGAACAAAAAAAAGTTTTTAATATTTTAATAAATATTTTAAAGAAATTTTAGTAAACAAATAGATTTAACCATTGAAGTTATCTAGCATGTGGCTCAAGAATGTGTGTTCCAAGAAAATGTCCTTTCACCTCATATATATATATATATATATATATATATATATCAAAAGTCAAAACTTAAAAAATGCGTGTGCAGAAAATTTTTTCCCTTTAAATAAAACACTACACTTGGCTATGAATTTGGATCATATCAAAATTGACGCTCACAAATTTGTTGAGTGATTTTTTCAAAGTTTTGATTATTAACTTTCAATTTATAATAACTATAATGTGTTTTCAAGAAAATTCAGTCCATTCTATTTCATTCCTTTTACTCTTTTTGTCTTGAAAAAAAAAATATTTTTAGACACCTTTACATTTTTTTGGCTTTTTGTACCTAAAATGTCATTATTTTCCTTTATTGATTTATATGTCCTACCATATCAACAATTAACGATGGTAGACCCATAATGTCACGCCCCGATTTGGGTTAAATTTTTTCTCAATATACTTGAGGACACAAAATATCAATTTTTAGGATTTTGGGAAATATTCTGTGAATTTATGAAAATTGTATAAGACTAAATAGATAAGCGTTAAAGTTTGAAATATATATTGAGAGATATTTGTTGCATAATAAGGACTAAGTTGAAAGTATGGAAAAACTTGAAGTTTAAATGGTGAACTCTAAAGAGATTAGATATCTAGTGGGATGAGGCACTAGATTCCTTAAGTAAGGTTAGAGGTTTGAATCCCGGCGTTTGTGAATGGAGCAAGCTGGTTGGGAGGACCGCTCTCACCTCTGCAGTACCCGATCTGGATTAGTCGATCAATAGATCAGATACCAATGATTAATTCAAAAAAACAAAAGTTTGAACGTAGGTCGAATTCAAACCCACGACCTCGAGATACTAACAGCTTCTTTAACCGTATGTGTTACAGTGCCTTTAAAATAGAAAATGGCTTTAACTATTTTTAAGTTGTTTCCGAAATAAATGGACTAAATGGAGTATATAAACTCATTTTTCGAGAAGGGAGATTTTTGAACTCCCAAAATTATTTTTCTAAAGTTTATTTTCTCCCTCTCACACAAATGTTGTTGCCTTCAATATGTTTCTTATCAAATGTTTGTGTGTTACGTCGTCAACATAATTAGCTTCATATCATCGTTGTGCGACGATTTGTGGTCTTGGTTCTAGTATTATTATTGCTATCATGAAGCATAGAGGAGATGAATTTTGGTCGTTCGAGAAAATCTATTTATGTCGTTTAAAATTAATCTTCTGATTTTGAATTTTAGAGTTTTTCATAATTTTTCAACCATTGCGATCGCAAATGAGCCCCAAGTGTCGTCTCTGCTTGTGGGCTTTGCCCACTTTATCCTAGAAACCTTTTGGAAGACCCTAACCAAATCTATACGGTTTGACTCAAACCTAATCAGTCTAAAATATTAATTGCTAGTATAATTCAAGTCTCATTTTAAATATTAAATTGGTTTTTTTTCTATCTAATTAAGTTGAAAAACACTTGTATAATATAATTCAAACCTAATAAGAATTATTTTTTCAAAAAACATTTTTCAAAATCCATATGTTTATTTCGGAACATAATAATATAAGAATGCTCATCAAATAAAAAGTGTTGTTAGTTATAAGCAATTTTTTTTAATTCCGTACATCAGCATCCAACCTTTAATTAACCTGAATCCAACAATAAGATGCAAAACCAAGCTCCAGGCAAACATAATGGCACCCAGCTCCATACACACCACAAATATACAGAACTAACGGTAAATTGCACAACGTCAAGGAGGTGCAAGCAATGTGTATAAGAACTTCATTAGAGAGCTAATATTGTCATAACGATCCTGTGTGGATCTGGACAGAGCCAACGCCTTATTCTGTAGTTACATAGTTTTATCATAGACCATACACACCTCTTGGACCAGTAGTATTTTTCCCCTGGGGTCCGTTTTGTCTTTATTTATCAACTTACACATCAGCAGCCTTCGAACGACCATTCATTTGGGCACGTTTAGCTTCCGCATCTTTCACAGCTGCCTTGATTGCATCTTCTGCAAGCATACTGCAGTGCAGCTTAACTGGTGGAAGTGAAAGATGTTTTGCGATCTCCCTGCAGTTTTACGTACAACACAGTAACAAATATGCATTTCATCATGAGTACATTTGATTGGGGGAAAGATTATAAATAAATGAATTGAACCATTGGTTCCAAAAAGACAAACAAAGACTTGTCTACCCTGCTCGTCCAGACCATAAAAAGGAAGAGAATCCTTCGACATCTATCCTACATTTCCTTACATCATTTATTCTACCATATGTTAACCTTCCAACTAATTCATTCACATATTAGATTACAAGGTTGGTGGATGGTCCCCACACAAAAGAGCCCAGTAAAACCCTAACTTCCCCAACTTAAAAACAAAGGGAATACAACAGTTGGCTAAACATGAAAGCCTTGCATTAGCTTATGCATACCATGTAATCACCTTAAGACTTAAATTTGGACGTTCTTAACTATTTAGACAATCATACTATATAATTACAATTTACATCTACATCTGTTGCAATGAGAAAAAAAATCACAATGACATCAAATACATCTCATGACTAACTGTAACTATCATGTTGATCCTGTTGATAGTTGAAGTCATAATCTGAAGATTTATTAGACAAAAAGCTCAATAGAAATAGAAAAATGTTAGACAGCGCTTTAACCTTTATGGACGGACTCTCTGATAGACACCACTTGGCCTTAATATCATTGTGCATACACAGGGATAATAAAGAATACCCTAGAATTACATACAATTTTAAAAATGCATACTAAAGCTGCAAGTAATTAATGTCATCCCTTCCTAAATGTAGACATGGCTAAGTACTTCCACTTAACTAGTTTCAAATAACAGACATGAAAAAGAATTCTACAAAGTATCCTTGAAAAGGATTAGAATTGAAGTTTGAGATAAGGAAATTATACTTACGTGTTCTTAATGGTAAGCACTTCGTCCATACTTTTCCCTTTCACCCATTCAGTGGCTGCAATATTAAAAAGCCCTAAGTTACAACATATCTCCAAAAAAATTGAGGGCCATTTGAAATAAACTCGCATGTGCAAAATACAGAATGATATTAATAAAACAGATTAGAAGTTTCAACATTGCAGTCAAAACAAATACACATTTTTTCAGTTGGTTTTTGAAAATATCTTTTTCTGCTTTTCAAAATCAACTTCATACAACAAATCAACAATAATTTAACATATTTATTCCATATTAATGTAAAATCATGCATTTTCTTTATGAAAAAGACACATTTAATTGATTAACATAAGTATTGGCTTTTGTATAAATGAAGTACGTTTCTTCTGTTTTGGATCGGAAACAAAATTTAAGTTTCAAAATAAAAACCTATCCGTTTTTCCTACTCTTTTTTGTGAATTTCCCACTGAAATCAAACAATTATACGCATATGAAATTTTAAATTTGGATTATTATTTTCTTCTTTGGGGGATTTGTAAATAAACTTAATAGAGCAAAACGAAAATAACCTAAATGAATAAATATCACAGCGCCGATCAAAACAAATTAGACCCATATATCCCAAAAACCATAAGTATTAAGGAAAAGAAAAATGATGACATACCGACAGAAGAAGACGCAATAGCCGACCCACAGCCGAAGGTTTTAAAGCAAGCATCGACGATTTTCCCTGATTCCTCGTCGATTTTGATTTGAAGCTTCATAACATCGCCACAAGCCGGAGCTCCAACCAGGCCAGTACCGACGCTGGGGTCGTTCTTATCGAAGGAGCCGACGTTACGAGGATTGTTGTAGTGATCGATGACATTCTCGTGGTAAAAACGCGGTAGAAATTGAAGGGGATGCGATGGGGCGTCCCGTGACGCTGTCCCGAGCAGCCTATTAGCCACCAGCCTCAGCATTCTCGCCGTCGATGTTCTAACGAATGAGCTTTTTTGGGGTTGAGCTAGGATTTGGATTTGGTTTTGGATTTGGTAACTTTGAAATTGTATGCAGATGCTGATACACATAGAGAGAACTTGAATGGTAAGCTACATGGGACACGTGGGGGTGAAGGACATATTCCGGAGTTTGAAAGATTGAACACACTCGTCACGGTTGATTTATTTAATAACTTATTAATTTTTTTACATTAAAAAAAACTCGTTGAATTTTTGTTTTTTTTAAAAGAGAAAATAACCTCAGTGAAAAAAAATCTCAGATAATATACGATTTTGATCAACTTTTTTTAGATTTGCGAAAATGACCAACAAAATCGCAATGCGATCTCTAATTCGCATTGCGATCTCCACTATCGCAAATTCGCGTTGCGATAGTTGAAAATCGCGTTGCGATTTTTCATTTCGCGTTGCGATAGTCTACAGTTGTCGTTGCGATTTTCCAAATTCGTTGCGATAGTCTACAGTTGTTGTTGCGATAGTCTACAGTTGTCATTGCGATTTTCCAAATTCGTTGCGAAAATTCGTTGTGACAGTTAAAAAAAAAGATTTTGTTTCTTAAGAATTTTCTCTAAAAAGATAGTATCCGCGCGGACGTGTCGAAGACACGTATTACCACGACCACGACCCGACCCGAGACGAGACGGACAGCGGCGGCGGCGTTCGAGAGTCCCCCTTGTTCTCTATCACTCAACAAAGAAGTGGGAAAGTCAAGCCTTAAATATCATTCCCAATAGTGTTTCCAATACTATGTGGGATTTGAGCATTACCAACACTTGTTTCCAATACTATGTGGGATTGAGCCTTAAATAGTGATATTATTTTTGAATGTTTTTCTTAAAATTGCAATAATCGCGATTGATTGTAGATTGACTTTTAATTATGACATATTTAATCGTATAATACTAATGCAATTGGTTGTTGATTCAGTTATTTTAAGGTGCATGATTGTTAATTGTTTCCTGAATAATCACATTGTATTGGAAACAAGTGTTGGTAATGCTCAATCCCACATAGTATTGGAAACACTATTGGGAATGGTATTTAAGGCTTGGCTTTTCCACTTCCTTGTTGAGTGATAGAGAACAAGGGGGACTCTCGCGCGCCGCCGCCGCCGCCGTCCGTCTCGTCTCGTCTCGTCTCGTCTCGTCTCGTCTCGTCTCGGGTCGTGGTCGTGGTCGTGGTCGTGGTCGTGGTAATACATGTCTTCGACACGTCCGCGCGGATACTATCTTTTTAGAGAAAATTCTTAAGAAACAAAATCTTTTTTTTTAACTATCACAACGAATTTTCGCAACGAATTTGGAAAATCGCAACGACAACTGTAGACTATCGCAACGCGAAATGGAAAATCGCAACGCGATTTTCAACTATCGCAACGCGAATTTGCGATAGTGGAGATCGCAATGCGAATTAGAGATCGCATTGCGATTTTGTTGGTCATTTTTGCAAATCCAAAAAAAGTTGGTCAAAATCGTATAATATCTAAGATTTTTGGTCACTGAGGTTATTTTCTCTTTTTTTAATCATAAATTAATTTATGTTAGATTAATTTATCATATTAAATTTAATTAAAAATATAAATTATTTATATTTAATAGTAAATTAAATTAAGTATTTACTATTTAGTTGAATGATATTATATTAAAAATATGGGCTAACTAAAGGATTGTGTAACCCCTAAACCCGACTAGATGTTATAACAAATTTAGGCTGTTACATATCATGCTCAGGAGTTCTTTTCATATTTAAAATAGCGTTGAAATCCATATATCAATATTATATGAAACTACCATCAGTGAGATATCGATAAGACAAATATATCAAAATAGTAGCAAAAACACTTGTCACCAAAGTATAACAAAAAAGGCATATAGGGATATACAGTGGTACAAAAATAAGCAATAGTTGGTCCTCTTAATGACAATACGCTAATCTACTACTATCTCAAAAGGTTAAAATTTATAGTATGAGCTAAAAAGCTCAGTGTGCTCCTTGCGGTGCATAAAAACATATATACAAAATACTTATGTAAAAAAATCAGTTCGTCAAACATGCTTTAAAAATATGAGCATTACCCCCATCCGATCACCAGAATGTGTCGGTTCCCCAGAACCATACACCCACCTGTATACGCGGTAATGACCTTATACATATAGCATAAGGACATGCAGTAAGGACTTACCCTGTGCACAAAGCAGAGGAGCCTGCTGTAAGGTCTTACAAGTTATAGACTAGGCCTGAGATACTTCCTCCAATGACAGTAATAAACATGTATGTATTTGAGTGAAAATGATAGTTTAATCCATTAAAACATGAAAATATTCCATACTCAGAAATTGGATACAAAAATACAGTAACAGAGAACATATCATAAATATACAGTAAATCAGATATCAGATAAACAATATTCTGAAAATCAGTTATCATGTCATAAAAAATATTGAGTGTTATCATAAATCTAAAACAATTCAAGTATATAGTTTAAAACAGTAATGTGACACCATCAGGAAACACAGATGTATCGGTCTGAGTAGTCTAATAAGGAAGCCTGAGTCTTTCGATCACGATCAACAGCAACGCTAGATCCTACGAATCAAAAATTTTATATCAAAATTCTAATAAGAATAATTATAACATCTATTTAAACAATTTATGGGAATCTACGAGTAACTCTCGAAGAATTTAGATTGAGCGAATCTAATGGACATGTAGCACGTGATCTAATCGATCTTCGGTCAGAGAAATATGAGCACTTCATAAAAATATATTCCTAAATTAATTCCATATTCAAATATCAAATAAATAAGAAAAAATGCTAAAAATACTAAGCATTTTCGGATGGGCTCGATTCAAGGTTTTGGGTCAGAATTTGGCAAAACGGATCACAAAAGCAGACTCAGAACATTTAAAAAATCAAGATTGAGGTTTTTGAAAAAAGTCATTAGCGATTAACGATTAACGGTTGACCGGTTCAGTTCGGGCTAGACCGGTTTGGTTCGGGTTGGACCGATTCGGTTCGGGTTGGACCGATTCGGTTCAGGCTGGACCGATTCGGATCGGGTCTGATCGAGTCGGTTCAGATCGGGTAGATGGGTCGGGTCGGGCAATTTCTTGAAACACACCAGGCGGTGGACCTTCCCCACGCGCGACGGAGCATACGGAGCCTTCAGAGGTGGAAAACTTTTCGTAAAATTTCCTATATGAATTTTAAGGGGTTTTGAGACACTTACCAAGCCCAGTTCATAGTGGTGAACAACAGAGAGCTTGATTTCGCAACTTTATAAACCTATTCTTCCTCACCCCTTCACACACCGACGGCAACAGAGGCAAGGCGGACACTGGTGGACTCAAGACGACACAAGGAACACGATGGTGCGAGAGGTGTAAAAAATGGAGCAACGGTCGACGACAAAACGTCGATTCAAGTTTGCTTACTAAAATAAGAATGCTTAAAGAGAGAGAAAAGAGGGTTTCTAAATGAGAAAACTTTCTAGATTTGGGGTTATATAACCCCTTAAAAAGAAAATGGTATAATTGTATAAGAGGTCGTTTAGTTTTAGTTACTTTCTAAATTTAGATCTAAATTTAATCTAAATTTCAATTTTCTCCCCAAAATTAATTTTAAGAAAAATTTAGGCCCTAATTTTATAGTGTGACAGATTACTTGCGTTTATGTTTTGTCCAATTTTCCTCACCAATTCTAGAAAACATAATATATAGTAACTTTCATTTTTATTTAATTGAGATGTGGTCACTTACCTTATTAGTTTATTAAATTTTAGTCATTTGAACGTTGAAGGCCGTTAGTTTGGTGACATGACAAGTTATTAAAATGGTATAAATTTTATTTTAACCCCTGCATTTTAAATAAAATACTAAATATGTATATTTTTATAAACCCAAAGTAATTTAGGGACAAAATTTCAATTTTCCCTTTTTTAATATGATTTTTCATTTAGTTGCTCGCTTTCCTTGCTTCTCTCTCTCTCAACACTACATTCACTCTGTGTAATACCCAAAATTTCGGTTAGTGACCAAAACTAATAAATTGAAAGTTTGGTGGATAAAGTATAAACTTAGGAAAAGATCAAGGATCAAAATGGTATTTTTCTAAAATATGTAATTTACCCCCAAGAATGATGTTTTTGTTTTATTCAAAATTTTTATACGAAATTTACGTTAAAAGTTATAAAGTGTTAAATTTTGAGAAAAAAATTGGATAATCGAATCGAATTGAAGATTTGAGATATTTTGTTGGTTAATATTGTCATTTACATGCTTTAAAATGATAAGATTTAATATGGACCATTGGATTTAAGTTGATTTTTCATGTTAAATCTAAGCCTTTGGATGAAAATGGAAATATTGTAACTATGGATCTTTACGAGGGTAAAGTTGGTAACTACTAACTCCATGGATTTATCCTAGCCATTGGTTGAAGATCTTGAAATGTGGCATGATGGTGAGCATTGGATGTTAAGGGAATAATGGTCATTTTGCATTACTATGAATTTTAAATTCATTTGAAGTTATATAAGTAAAAAAAGAACAAAATAAAAGAAAAAAAATCAAGAAAGTTCACATATTTTCATGTTGCTACTGTGAGTCTCCATGAATGTCAAGGTAAGTTTCAAATGTGATTTTCAACCATTTTAAGTTGGATTTAGGATTTAGACATGAAATCCAAAGTTGTTATCCATTGAATTCTCTTTCATTTGGTGGTAAAATTGCATGGGTTGGTTGAGTTATGTTCTTTAATTGGATGAAAGAAAGTTTAGGGTTTATGGACTAAATTAAATTAAAATTTAATTTTAAAGGATTAGTTGTTTATATAGTTTTTCCATGCTTGAATCAAGATGAATTTCATGGATAAGTTGATATACAAGGTTCGACCATGAAGAAGAAAATTAGGGAAAAATTATTCAAGAATGTTTTAATGTTTCTCATGAAGTATTAATGGTTGTACAAGCTTTAGAATGTTATTTAAAGAAAAATATTAAAGTGTGAACACACCATGGTATATTTGGTTATTAG